TCGCCGCCTGGAGTTTTTGAAAAGGAATACGAACTCTACCGAGACTACGGCTCCGATGGACAGCGGCTCCACTACCGGTGAGCAGCCTCCCTCAAGTCATTCTCAACCTTGGCAGCTTGAAGATGGTGGGCTTCAGTTCCCATAATTCCCCAGCCAGCAGGCTTGAAGATGGCTGGACTTCAACTTTTAGAATTTCCCAGCCAGCATGGCTGAAGAAGTGAGGACTTCAACTCCCAGAATTCCCCAGACTGCAGGCTTTAAAAGTGTGTAGATTTCAACTTTTAGAATTCCCCAGCCAGCATGTTTTTAAGATGGGTGGACTGATACTCCCAGAATTCCCCAGGTGGCAGGCTTTCAAACGCATAGACTTCAGCTCCCAGAATTCCCTAGGCAGCATGCTTAAAATGCAGACTCCAATTCCCAGAATTCCCTAGGCAGCAGGCTTTAAAGTGTGTAGATTTCAACTTTTTGAATTCCCCAGCCAGCATGCTTGAAGAAGCGAGGACTTTTAACTCCCAGAATTCCCCAGCCAGTATACTTTCAAAATGCATAGACTTCAATTCCCAGAATTACCCAGACAGCAGGCTGTAAAATATGCAGATTTGAACTCCTAGAATTCCCAGCCAGCATGTTTGAAGAAGCGAGGACTTCAACTCCCAGAATTCCCCAGCCAGGAAGATGTGTGAACTACGTGTCCTAACTGGCTGAGGAATTCTGGGAATTGTAGTCCACAGATCTTAAAGTTTCTTTCTTATGTTTGAGAAAGACCGCTCAAGGGTTTTTGAAACTGAACGGGTGAAAACAGGGGTGAGATTCAGCCGTTTTGGGCCGTTTGGGGCGAACCGGGTGTTAAATTTACATCTGGTTCACCGAACCGGTTGTTGAGCTGACCGGCTGGCCATGCCCACCTCGCCCCACCCCTCCTAGGAGTCCCTAATGGCCGCTTTTGGATGCAGGTAAGTGCAAGGTCCGTGTGGAGGCTCAGAGGGCGAAAAATGACCCTTCCAAAAGTTGTGGAAATGGGCCTGTTTCCAGTTTCCGGAGGGCCTCTGGAGCCCGGGGGAGGCCGTTTTTGCCCTCCCAGAGGCCCGAGGGAAGCCTCCGGACTCTGGGGAAGGTAAATAGCAGCCCTCCCGGAAGTTCCGGTAGGCCACGCCCACCGTGGCACACCCACCCAGCAATCAGGCAGAGAACCGGTTGTTGGGATTTGTGAATCCCATTCCTGGGTGAAAATGGGTGATGGTTTCGGTCTTGTAGTAGTAGGGTTGGAACCCCAGGGGAGATTAATAATAGAAATGGAAGGAGGCTTGTGACAGAATGTCTGTAAGCTACAGATAATCTTTGATTTACAAACTTTCATTTAATAACCATTTGAAGGTATGTTGAACTCCAAAAGCTACTTACAACCCATTTTTAAAGTTACAACGGCCGCTCACCCACAACTCCTTGCAGTCACACGATCCTATTTTGGGCTGTGGACACCTGATTCACCTGTTTGTAGGGTCCCACGGTCACGTGACCGCAACTTATGACACCTTTTTGTCAGTTTCCAGCGTTTACTTCCAAAAAAATACCCATGGTGGGGGGAAAAGGGATTTGTAACAGCTGTGGCATTCACTTAAGCAACCATTGCAAAATAAAATAAAATTGTAAAATCAGGTCCGGTTACTTGATGCTTTGACTTAACGACTACAATGATTTGCAACCATAATTGAGGGCTCAGTTACGGCCATACGTTGAGGACTAGCTATAGAGTTTTGGGGCCAGGGATGTTTGCCATTGCTAAAAGTATGGGTTTGCTCTGCTATTTTGGCTGGTGGAGAGATAGGGACTAAGAGAGGAGAATGTTTGATGCTCAGGGTTGAACTATGGAAAACTTGGTTGTTTTCTTTCAGACGTTTCGTTACCCAACTAGGTAACATCATCAGTGCTTGAAAGGAGTGGGATTACTTTCTGTTGATATGAGAGCATCCTGTTGTATGGCATGACTGTCTGGTTTGGAAGCATTCCTGCTTCAGACTGGAAGGCGAGGGAGTGAGTGGTGAGGACAGCAGAAAATATTATTGGCAGTTCACTCTCTTCTAGCCAGGACGTGGCACATAAGTGATGCTTGTGAGCAGGGTCTGTGGGATTGTGTAGGATGCTACACATCCTCTCCACAACCCGTTTTCCTTGCTTCCTTCTGGGAGGGTGTGGCTTTGTGGTACCCGAAGCAGAACATCCAGATTCGGTCACAGTTTTGTTCCATGTAGTGCCAATCTTGTGAACTCTCAACTTTCCCCTTTCTGCTACGTATTCAAAGTGGACAGTGATTAACATTTACATCATGTATTGATATGCATGGGTGTAGGTATACACATATGTATATAGCATGTATATATGTGTGTTATGTATGTGTACACTTTTGAGTGCAGGCAACAGAATTTCATGTTTAATGTGTGCCAGAGTGCCCACAGTAAAAAATGACAATAAAGGTTGTCCTGTCTTATCTGATTTGCAATGGGAAAAAAACCTGTGTGTTTGCTGAGCTTTGCTGGTGGTTCATGGTGTGAATGATATGAGCTGTATTTCCTAGAGTTTTCTATTAATTGTGAAGTTCATTAGAAGACTGAACAGATTTGATATGCATCTTGTCTCATATTGCATTACAGTCTGATTTGGAAGCATTACTGCTTCAGACAGGAAGGCAGTAGAGAGAGTGATGAGGACAGTGGAAAAGATGGATAGATGGATGGATAGACAGATGATAGATAGAGATGATAGAGAGAAAGGTAGGTAGATGGATGGATGGATGGATAGATAGAGATAATAATAGATATAGATGAGAGATAGAAAGGTAGGTAGGTAGGTAGATAGAT